TTTTTTTTGAATACTTTTGGTTTGCTTGAAGCTGAGTCTTTCTACCCATTACTTCTTCAGTTTCGTAAGTTGGAGTGAGAAGCGTGGATGGAAGAGATGACAGCATCAGCAACCACGCACTTTCACTTACAATTTTCAGTTTAACTCATTCGAGCAGTTGTGGATCAACTTTGTAAATGAGAAATTACAACAATTCTTCAATCACCACATGTTCGTGCTGGAACAAGAGGAATATGCCCGTGAAGGTATCCAATGGACGTTCATTGACTTCGGTCTTGACCTGCAGGCTTGTATCGAACTTATTGAAAAGGTAAGAACGAGTATTTCATCTTGAAATGAGACCTAGTTATTTCCATTTAGCCTCTCGGTATCATCTCCATGCTTGATGAAGAATGCATTGTACCCAAAGCAACCGATATGACACTTGCCCAAAAGCTGAACGAGCAGCATCTGGGCAAGCACCCGAACTTCGAGAAGCCCAAACCACCGAAGGGCAAACAGGCAGAGGCTCATTTCGCGATGCGTCACTACGCCGGAACCGTCAGATACAACGTTTCGAATTGGCTCGAGAAGAACAAGGATCCCCTGAACGACACCCTCGTCTCCGTGCTAAAGGTCTCAAAAGGAAACGACCTGCTGAATGAAATCTGGAGCGACTATGTGACTCAGGAGGAGGCTGCAGCCGCGGCTAAGAGCAGTATCTGCATTCTTCAAAATTCTTCCACGGCTAGAATTTCACTATAGTTTTTGTTTTCAGGTGGCGCTGCTGGAAAGCGAGGAAAGTCTGGATCGTTCATGACCGTGTCGATGATGTACCGTGAATCCTTGAACAATCTGATGAGTATGCTGCATAAAACACATCCTCACTTCATTCGGTGCATCATTCCCAATGAGAAGAAGAAGTCCGGACTTATTGATGCTGCGCTCGTGCTCAATCAGCTCACTTGCAACGGAGTGCTGGAAGGAATCCGTATCTGCCGTAAAGGTTTCCCGAACAGGACCCTCCATGCTGACTTCGTGACCCGTTACGCTCTTCTCGCAGCCAAAGAGGCAAAGTCAAGCGATGATCCAAAAACGAATGCCGGGGCCATACTTCAAGCCCTCATCAACGAGCAGAAGTTGAACGATGAACAGTTCCGCGTTGGTCACACTAAGGTCTTCTTCAAAGCTGGAGTCGTGGCCCACATTGAAGACCTTCGTGACGAAAAGCTCAACGCCCTCATCAGTGGTTTTCAGGCTCGCATTCGTTATTGGTTCACCCTCATCGACCGCGAAGCTCGCGCGAAGCAGTTGAATGCCTACGTGGTAATCCAGCGAAACATCCGCTCATGGAGTATCCTAAGAACGTGGGATTGGTTCAAGCTGTTCGGAAAACTCCGTCCTCAGCTGAAGAGCGGAAAGATGGCAGAGGAGTTGGCTAAGATGACGGAAGAACAGAAGAGTCTTGAAGCGTTATCGGCTCAGAAGGAAAGCGAACGCAAGGCTAAGGAAGACATGCTCGCCAAACTCAACGCCGATAAGAACAAACTCCTTGAGCAACTAGAGATGACTAAGGGTGGCTCAGCTTCGATCGAAGATAAGTTGACCAAGTTGAACAATGCTAAGCAAGACCTCGAGAAAGCTCTGAATGACACCAATGACAAACTGTCAGAGCAAGAAGAACGAAATGCTGACCTAGAGAGGCAGAAGCGTAAGGCACAACAAGAGATTGAGACCATCAAGAAGAGCATTGAAGGTGTAGACGGCAACCTGCTGAAATCGATCGAGGAAAAGGAAGCCAAGGAGAACCAGATACGCTCACTGCAAGATGAGATAAACGCGCAAGACGAGACAATTGCCAAGCTGAACAAGGAGAAGAAGCACCAAGAGGAGGTGAATCGTCAACTTGTGGACGACGTGCAGGCTGAGGAGGCCAAGCAGGCCCAAGCTGCTCGTCTAAAGCAAAAGCTCGAGCAGACTCTCGACGAGCTTGAGGAATCCATCGAACGGGAACGTCGCATACGATCTGAAACCGAAAAGTCAAAGAGAAAGACCGACGGTGAACTCAAGGCCGCGCAAGAGAGCATCGACGAGATCACAAAGGTGAAACAAGAGGCCGATGCCAACTTGAAGAAGAAAGAAGCTGACCTGCACGCTCTTGGAGTGCGAATCGAAGACGAGCAAGCGATGGCGAATAGACTCAACCGCCAGTGCAAGGAAAACTCAGTGCGCATCATTGAAATCGAGGATGAGCTGGAGCACGAAAGGCAAGCGCGAGCCAAGGCCGACAGGGCTCGCGCCGAGCTGCAGAGGGAATTGGACGAGCTAAACGA